ACGCCGGTAAATGCCCTGCCATCAGACAAGCACAGCCCTTCCTAAATCACGGTAGTCACTCCCTAGTTATATAACTGAGAAAGCAGAAAAAAATTAGTGCCAAGTGTAAAATACAAGCTCTTCTTAATGCAACAGAGATCCATCCGTTTGACTTATATGTAATAGTTTGAACTACGCTAATTGCACATTAGCTGAAAAGAGAATTCTGGAAGGCCTACTCTAATGAAGGAATAAAAATTAACACTGCATGCTGTGTGGGTGGATGCTTCTTATCTACTTGTTTTTTTTTTTTTTTTTTTTTTTCGCTTTTTTTTTCCCCTGAAAGAGACACTGTCTCCATGACAGTTGTGTTTATCTTATTTGCTTGCTTGGTATGGTGCTTTTTTTTTTTAATCTTATAGTAAAAATAAATTTTAGCTAAATCAAATTAACAGACTTCCAATAAAGGATTGGCGTGAAGCCTGAACCACGTTTACCTTTCAATTTTATAATCTTATAATTACCCACATTTTTTTCTCGTCCTCAGGAAAACAGGATGGAGAGCCCCCCGCCCCCCCCCCCAATGCCTTTATGATCAAGAGAGCAAACCCTTCCTGAGCACGTGCATTGGGCCAAGCACTTTGCTGAGCACTTATTAAGTGCTTATGGCAAACACGTTAGAGAAACTCTCGTGCTTTCCATTTTACAGATGCCCCAGCACATGGAGGCTTTCAGGAGCCTGTTCCAGTCCCAGGCAAATCTGGTTCAAGTTACCTCCTCTGCTGGATGAGGAGAGTTTGGGTAAAGCTTAGCTTTGAGGATCCTAAAGACTTTTCTAGCATGTTAGCATCCTGAAGGGCACCAGCCCTAGACTCATGCCTGGGAGAAGTTCCTAGCTAGGGGATCAGTTGTTCTGTCATCAAACCCAGTTCTTGTTGGTATCTGTACCAACTAGTACCTGTACCAACTAGTTCCAGAACTAACATGGCCCCCCTAAAACCAGAACCAAGTAGGGTCCTAGAAACAACTCTCCTGAGCTCGGAGGAGCCCAGTGGCCGAGCCCTTGCCTAGCATTGGCAAGGTTCTGGTTCCGTCCCAATAAGAAGAAAGGAAGAACTCTTCCAGACAGGGTCTCTTTCAGTTTTAAACTAAAGAGAAAATGTTTTGTTCTTCTTCATAGTTAAACTCACTGTTTTCTTCCTCCTCCCCCACACTTCTTTCTTTCTTTTATAAAAAGAAAAGGAGGGGATCCTTTGTTTGCAGGAGGCTTCACAGATGGGCTACCTGACACAAATCTTCATACCCCTTCACCCAGTTCTGGGAACACAGCCCAAAGACACCCTGAAATTAAGACCCTGATCTCTTCGTCATTGTGTTAGTCCCAGTAGCAGAAATAGTGGAACATGGTTTGGAGAGGGAGGTGGAAAAGGATTTAAGTGACATGGTAAATACATAATGCAATGCAATGCTACAATTAACAGAAACAATTAATAGCGTTAAAGCAAGGCAGTGTTCCACATTTCAGAAACACAAGGCAGCTTCAGCCACATTCATTCATTCACTCATTTACTCATTAATAGATGTGTGTTTGGCATCACTATAAGCCACACACCATGCTAAGTTCTGGATGCTTTTGGATTTTAATGAGAAATTAGGCCAGGCATGGTAGCACATGCCTGTCATCCCAGCAGCTCAGGAGGCTGAGGCAGGAGGATCATGATTTCAAGGCCAGCCTCAGCAACTTAGCCAGGCCCTAAGCAACTCAATGAGACCCCGTCTCTAAATAAAATACAAAATAGGGCAGGGAATGTAGCTCAGTGGTTCAGCATCCCTGGGTTCAATCCCAAGTACAGAGAGAAATTTCACCTTGCATCATGAAGTTTACCTTCCAGCAAGAAGACAAAAAAAATTTTTTTTAATTGCCCAATTGCAGGGTGCTGTGCAGCAAGTAACTGGGTCAGGAAGGTTTCTTAGAGGAGATGACCTTTGACTGAATTCTGAAGAATTTATTAGGCAAATATTGGGGTGGGTATAATGCACACACACAGGGAAAGAGAAGAAAGTTCCAATCAGAGAGACTGGGCATGTGCAGAGGCCCTGTGTTTTAAGGGGCATATCAGAAGAACAGCCCAAATAAATACCATCATGAAAAAAAAGAATAGCACAAGATGAATCTGAAAAGTCAAAGACAAACTATGCATGTCTGTAGACCAGGGATTGACAAAGAAAGGGCCAGAATGCAAGTATTTTAGGCTTTGAGGACCAAGAAGCAAAATCAGTGATGTCATATGTGTATTTATATGTCAAGAGAAAAAGAATATGTAAAAATTTTGGATAAATGCATAATGTAATGATTGAGTACTTTATTTATAATACAAATCTACCAATGAGAAGACTGGCGTATTGGTGGAGGAAACATTTGGCTTAATTAGTGTTCTCTAATTATCAAAATGTACTGTAGATATTTACCTGTTGATGCAAATCTAAAATGAGATCATATCTAATTCATGCATGTTGCAAAGTGTTCTTTTACATGCATACATGTTGTCCAACACCGATATCTGTCCACAGCTGTCTAATTTCATTTGAGCGTACTCATGGTTTGGCAGGCCTTTATAGAATCCTGTTGGAGTTTTCTCCTGATATTTGCATATCATTTCATTGCACATTAATCACCATTAAACACTTGCAACTGAAAATGAAATGGAAGCTCCTCAATTACCTAGCTAAATGAATTTTTGAAAATATGAACATTTCCTTTACACTTACATCAAAGTCCAAATCATACTGCTGTTTAAACTCAGAAAATATAACCACTGTAAATTTGTGTGCGATGAGATGTAGTTTTTTTTTTTTTTTTTTTTTCATTTTAACTTTTGACAGTCTGGGGAGGTGTTAAAGCAGCTTAACATTACTTGTGATTTAAATAATGTTCCTTGTCATTGAAATGCCCTTACCACAGTAGGAGTTTTGCCAGTAATTGCAGATTTGCCATATCACCCTAGGTACACTTCATTAGGAAGTATTACCAAGTCTATAGCAAGGCTAAAGTTCAAACACTAAGCATCCAGTTGGAATGACTGGGAACAATTCTTACTCAGAAAACTTTTAATATGGGTCCTGAGCTCAAAAGTCAAAATAAAACTTTACTGCTAAGTGATTACACTGCAGTGGTAAGACAAGTCAAGGAATTCAGCTTCTAGTTTTTTTACAAAATTAAAAAGGCACAAGACTGATGATGATTAACTTATAGCAAATGAATTCATTATTGATAATACTTCATTGGTAATACTATATATTCAATTATTGACAATTCATGATTGACATTACTATATTGACAATACTATATATTCAATACATTATTAAACCTGATAGGTTCAATTATTTTCCACACAGTACCTGCTGATAAATAATACAATGAATAACCATAGGCTTTAAATCTTACAGTTTCACAAGCTTTGTAAGTTTTCCAACTAAAGCTCTTTGCACTCCAAACCTAGTTGTATCACAATCTGTTTTCAACACCTCTTAGCAGATTCCACTTCAGTTTTTCGGCAAGAGTGTTTTTTCTCAACCTCATTGAAATATTGTCACCCATGCTCATTTCGTATGAGCCATTCATAAAGGCTAATTTTTTAAGTCAGTTCAGATTGACCCTTGTTTCCTCAAATGACAACAGCCCCTAAATAGTATCAGTAATATCTGTTGACTCATCAAGAACCTAAGAAACCCACTCAAAATCATCTGCCTTGTTCTTAATTACCTATTGGCGTGGCTGCCAACGTCATCAACTTTCTGGGGCAATTCTTCTTGCCAAAAGGGTAGTTTCCTTAAATTAGTTTATTTTTGCTGGACACATTTCTTGAGCTGCTGCAATTAAACAAGATGTCATTAATTCACTATGAGTAAGTTGTTTTCCTTGCCTGACTAACAAGTGAGCAAACTGGAGGCACTCATTTTCATATTTTATTTTTGGGTAAGAATCATGCTCTGGTAATATACCCCATTTTACACTTTATACATTTCTAAACCATTACAGGAATATTTGTGATGATTTTAGTTTGATAATGTTGGTGCATATCATTTTTCTTTAGCAAGACTATATTGTCATTACATAATAAATGCAATGCTTTGTCATCTAAATTTGATAACAAAACAATCTACCTGCCATTATATACTAAAAGTATAACATTCATTTTGGGGAGGGGAATGGTTATTTGTTGCTAAGGATCAAACCCAAGACTAGCATTCTACTACTGAGCTGTACCCCTAATCCCAGCCCGAAAGTATAGCATGCAAAGTTCACTTTCCCTTCTTTTCTTCATCTGTCTTCATGATTGCACTGGTAGAAAACAAGTAAATAAAATGAATCAAGTTAAAACAGTGTCGCTATGACACACTGAGCATCAATGTGAAACTGAGACCTACTGCAACTCCTCATTTCTATTGCAAAGTGAAAGTAGCCATAGAGTTTAGGTAATAGAGTGAACATGGCTGGTTATAATAAAACTTTACTAATGGACTCTGAAATTTGAATTTGATAGAATCACCTCATGTCAAAAAAAATGTTATTCTTGGTTTGCTTTTAATCAATCATTTTTTAAAAAAAATACTTTTTTAAAAAATTTTTTTAGTTGTTGATGGACTTTTTTTAAATATTTTTTTTTACTTGCTGATAGACCTTTATTTTATTTATTTATATGTGGTGCTGAGAATCGAACCCAGTGCCTCACACATGCCAGGCAAGTGCTCTCCCACTGAGCCACCACCCCAGCCCTAATCCACCATTTTAAAATGTAAAAACCAATCTTGGCTCGTCCACCATGAAAAACCAAGTGGTTGGCTGGATTTGGCCCTTATCCCATAGTTGGCCAACCCCAGCGTTAGACCCTGGTGAGCATCTTAGGTTTCATTTAATTTCAGAAGGTCATGCCTACTGTGTGTACAATAATGATTTTTCACAAAAGGTGTTGCGAGCTCTGAAAATGTTAGGTAATCTAAGTTGATGTGTCTCTTTGCAGGATGGTACCCGAGTTGTAGGGAAATGTGGTGGTTACTGTGGAAAATGCACTCCATCTTCTGGTACTGGCCTGGAGGTGCAAGTTTTATAGCTAAGGTATGTGTTCCATCTCTGATCTGTCTCTCCTCTCTCTTTTCTCCCACGCCCCGCCCCACACCATTTCTTGTGCAGCCTAATGAGGAGCAGCTGTGGGCCAGTCATTTCCCCCAGTCAGGGTCACTAGTAAGGGTACTGAAACTGGCCTGATACTATCCTATCTTTTTTCTCTCTTGCCCATCTGCTTTCACATGAGTGAGGCCATCTGTCCTCCACCCTTGAATATGAGGTCCCTCCCAAGGCCACATGAATCCGATTTCTCTGCATTGAGTATTTAAAATCTTCTCTACCGGCAGACTCCATCTCTAGGAGTCTTGCTTCAGGCAGATTCAGGGATCTGTATTTTTAATGCAGGGAATTTGGATGCAGGGAGCACACAGATCATCTTTTGAGAGCTACTGTCCAGGAATACGATGATAATAATAATAGCAATGGTAATTATCAAGTCCTCGCCATGCTAAGCAAATTACAGGCATTATTTAATCGAATTCTCCCAAGGAACCCATGAAGTGAGGCTTTGGAGCTTTACAGAAGCTGAGGCCCACATCTATTAAAAAGCTGCTTCACGGTCCCTCCAAGTGCCCAGGAGGGCTCTCGGCCACTGTACAGTGCCACCAGCTTTGCCACTCACAGTGTGGCATTGGGACCAGAAGCAGCAGCATCACCCGGGAGCCTGTTTGAAATGCAGAGTCTCAGACCCCACAAAAATCAGAATCTGCATTTTAACAAAACAGGGAAGAGAAATTTCTCTTGGGGAAGAGAAATCCTGCATAAAGATCCGCAGTCCCTGGTTAACTGCATCATGCTGGCGCGGGCTCCCTCTGCTGGACTTAGGGTGGAATTGGTCACTATTTTTTTATTTTTATGTTCAGCCGCAAGGGACAAGCTCAGCCAACTCACGTGGGCCTCCTAATCTTCCCGGATCTTTCAGCAGCTCTTTGTGAAAACCTGACACAGGAGTACTTATGTGACATTTATGACCTTTTTAATATTTAACTAAGTATCCACATCTGAAATTATGTTCTTAAATTGGAATTATTTCTGTTTACAAGGGACAAAGGAAATATATTAAATAAATAAGATGTCCAGGGCTGGCTTGGGCACAGCTGCATCCAGAGGCTCAAACAAAGTTATCGGTTTTCTTTCTTTTTTTATTGATCAGCAACGATTGCCTCTTAAATAACTTCTTTCTCAGACAGATGGTCTCCCCCACACCATGGTCCCAGGCAGCTCCAGGATGACATCATCCTCATCATAGCTCATGACCCAATAAATACTCACCCCCAGCATCCATTATGCAAAAGAACTCTGATTGGCTCTGATTGGGTCCCATGGCTACTTCTGAACCAATCTCAATATCCAAGGGCCTGAGATCACATACCTTCATAGAGTCAAGTGACTGATAGCTTCAAGAGAGACATCATTCCTAAGGGACAAGAAGATATTTGTTATCAGAAAAAGGAGACCAAAATTAATGCTGGCAAAATTCATTGAGTATAGCTGGATGAGGTGGCACATACCTATGATCCCAGCAGTTGGGGAGGCTGAGGCAGGAGGATCTCGAGTTCAAAGCCAGCCTCAGCAACTTAATGAGGCCCTAAGCAACTCAACAAGACCCTGTCTCTAAATAAAATATATAAAGGGCCGAGGATGTGGCTCAGTGGTTAAGCGCCCCTGGGTTCAATCCCTGATACCAAAATAGAAAAAAATATATATATTTTTTAAATCGGTAGAAAATAATAGTGCCATTTTAAAACTATATATGTAAAAATATATGGCTTACCTACTCTTTGGCTTTTGGCATTTGAGGCAAAAGGTTTACATTTTCTGATTTGTTCATTTCAGGTGCTCTGAAGAGGAAGCCATTATGGGATGGATGAAGGATAGTCATGCAATACCTCCACCTTAAATCTGGGTGCCTGTGTGTGTGAGAGACCTGTATGCCCGTGTGTGTGTGTGTGAGTGTGTGTGTATATGTGTGTACATATGCATATATATATAAATATATATATGTGCAGGTTGAGCATCCTCAGTCCAAAAATCTGAACATCAGATTCCGTGTGTGCAAATATCACGAAATCTGAAATCTGCAAACACTTCCGGTCCCAAGCATTTTGGATCAGGGATCTTCAACCTGTGGAATAGCCTGATGATGTAAAGTTTAATATTTATATGTTTGAAATTATTTATTGTGATGTAATATTTTTGTACGTAAAATGATTTTATTGTGACTGCCTTCACGTTACTACTTTTGTCCCCTGCAGTCAAGACCACTGCATTTTACGTACTCTACGTTATATGTAGGACTATGACAGAGGTAACTCTTCCTTATCACGGTACACTGCGGTTTACTTTTTATCTGTCCGTGTTTTGCTGATACTTTTTTTTTTAATTGTGATTTGCGTTTTGAAACAACCCAGCCATCCCATCATCAAGGTGCTACAAAAGTCGTACAAGGGTAGTTTGGGCATTTCTGGAAAAGGTTTGTTAGCCAATGAGTCTCATTAGCTAACCAGTTAGTAACATGGCACGCAGACTGTACCAACTGGGAATTCTATTCAGTAGCTATTCGGTTTCATGTGATCTCTGGGGAAAAAAAAATCTATCTATCTATCTATATATATATATATATATGCTGCCTTGGTGCTAATGTTGTATGTATTTAAGTGACTTTCAGACTTCTAATAAAAGGGAGCAACAGAAAGACAGTTTCCAGTGGACAGAGTCACTTGGATAGAATAAGACCAATGACACCCTTATGTTTTGGACATGCCACTTTTGGAAGAGAGTGGAACTTTATTCTTGCTGGTATTGCTGTGGACCCTCGTTGCTTCAGTGTGCGGCTCCTGGGTCTCTCTGCATTGGGACAGAGGATTTGGCAGAGACACACTGGGAAAATGAAATCCTCACACTGTTTGGCCAAGGTATTCTAGAATGACATCAAAGGTCACTGAGCAAGCACAGCCTATTTTTCTACGAGTGACCTTCAGCACACCCTGGAGATGTTCCGGAAGGTTCTGAGTCATCAGGATTATCCTTTGCTGAGGACTGGCCTGCTCCTCTGGCTGAGCCTGATACCCCGCCGTCCCGCCTGTAGTATCCGATGCTGTGTGAAGAGATGGACTTTGGAATACAAGGTGCTGGTTTCTTTCTGATCTTCTGTGAATCCACATTTTGATACTTCTTTCCAAGAAGTGGGGAAGCCTTGGTCTTTGTGCCCTTCCAACTTGATTGGAATGGAAGTGGCCCATGGAAGAGAAACCCTGCCCATGTCCAAAAACCAAAGAGATTGGGGGAAAAAAAACACCTGGCCGTATTCAACTCCAATCGAACTCCAGAGTGCTCCAGGGAGAGGTATATTCAGTGTATGAATAAGTATTGTTTTCCATTATTAACACATGTTGAAAACATATTATGAATAAATACCATGACCACATCCAAACCATTTGCTTTCTGGACTCTGGACTCAAGTTGGAATAAGAATGTCTGTGTTTTAAAGTTGCCAGACTGGGCTGCGTGTGGTGAGGCACACCTGTAATCCCTGCAATTTGGAGGCTGAGGCAGGAGGATCTCAAGTTTGAGGCCAGCCTCAGCAACTAGCGAGGCCCTAAACAGCTCCACAAGACCCTGTCTCAAAGTGAAAAGTAAAAAGGGTTCAGAGGTCAAGCACCCCTGGGTTCCATCCCCAGAAACAACAAAACAAAAATTTTTTAAAAAGCAAATAGGCCCCAGCTTGCTCACAGTGAATGAGTGGCAACAGGCTCCGATTGGGCCACAATGCCACATCTGGACCAATCACATCGTCGAAGGGGGTGGGGTTGAACACCCACTTAGAATCCAGTGATTGACAGCTTAAGTGGAAAATGAGGTGGTGTCCCTTAGAGAAACCGGTTGAGTTACCAAAAAGCAGGCCATGGAAGGGAGACGCAAAAGCAGCAGCGTCCTGCTCATTCATTCATTTACCCAAATATTGTTTATTGCACACCTGTTAATTTCCGTCCGCTGTTCTAGAGGCTTGGTTTGATGGGGCTGCTGTAACTGCCACTGGTTCAGTGGCTTGAACAAAAGAAATGAATCCTTTCACTAGGACACCGGGACGGTCCTGCTCGCCTGTCATCCCAGCAGCTGGGCAGGCTGAGGCAGGAGGATCGTGAGTTCAAAGCCAGCCTCAGCAAAAGCGAGGCCCTAAGCAACTCAGTGAGACCCTGTCTCTAAATAAAATACAAAATAGGGCTGGGGATGGGGCTCAGTGGTCGAGGGCCCCTCAGTTCAACCCCCAGTACCCGCCCCCGCCCCCAAAATAAAGAAACCAAGGAGAGAAGAGGCCAAGAAAGCCCGAGGCGGAGCATGATGCTCTTTTAGGTAGAGGTTCTTCTTTATGAGCCTCCATAGCTGCGAACAAAGTGGCGGTGGCGGGTCACCCTCAAAGCCTGCCACCCAGCTCAGTGGGCGTGGAAACCACCTGTCACCAACAGATGGCGGGAGTCTGAGCTGTGGCACTGTTAGGCTGTCGCTGGGTTCTGCTCATTTTGGCCGTGATGAGGGCCGAGGCGTTGGCGGTCTGTAGAGCCTGAGCCCTACAAAGATCGGGCGGCTCCCTTTGCATTTGTGCCTCAAAATTAAAAATACCTCCAGGCCATGAACTTGGTCTGTTTCATGGAAAACTATTTTAATGCCAAGTATCAGATGCCAGAAGAGCATTTTTGCTGTGGCCCTGGGCACGAGCTTTGTCTGCCCGGGAGGTGGCCCAGCTAGTTTGACTTTATTCTGACTGTGATATTGGGACATAAGGCTCAAAGAGTCATAGAGGGGCACCAACTAGGAGGAGAGAAACAAAATGTACCTGTGTGTAGAAATGTGCACCTGCCTATGTAACTGGTGTCGTGCCCTCTGTCAGGACTTAGGCTCAAGTGCCTTTCAGGCCAGTGACATGAACGACACAGTGTATTGAGGGAGGGTTTGTGTATAGGAAATGCAATTCGTATTCAATGTACTGTTCAAAAAAACCTATGCCTTCCTTAAGTTTTTTGTTTTGTTTTTGTACCAGGGATTGAACCCAGGGTCACTTAACCACTGAGTCGCATCCCCAGCCCATTTTATTTTTTATTTTAAAACAGGGTCTCCTTAACTTGTTGACCTCAAACTTGCAATCCTCCTGCCTCAGCCTCTTGAGTCACTGGGATTACAGACATGCACCACCAAGCCCAGTTTGGTCCTGTTATTTTATTTATTGGTCAACTTGGGTTTTAAGGTTTACTAAAATACTTTTGAATAATGTTTGCCTCATTTGTAACTTAGAAATGTAAAGGTATGAATTATTTTATTCAAAATTTATGCATTCAATGAACTTTTTACTTCTTTTTTTGTTTTTCTTTTTTCTTTTGGTACTAGGGATTGAACCCAAGGGCACTTAACCACTGAGCCACATCCCCAGCCCTTCTTATTTTTTTATTTTGAGACAGGGTATTGCTAAGTTGCTGACAGTCTTGCTAAATTGCCACAGCTGGCCTTGAACTTCCCATCCTCCTGCCTCAGCCTCCTGAGCTGCTGGGAAGGCAGGAATTTAAATATAAGAGCCACATTCAGCAGGATGCAGTGGCCCAGCCACTTGGGAGGCTGAGGCAGGAGGATCTCGAGTTCAAAGCCAGTCTCAGCATAAGCGAGTCCCTAAGCAACTCAGTGAGACCCTGTCTCTAAATAAAATACAAAATAGGGCTGGGGATGGGGCTCCGTGGTGGAGTACCCCTGAGTTCAATCTCCGGTTTCCCCCACCACAAAAAAAAAAAAAAAGTCTTCCTGCCTGGATCCGAAGACTTTGGAACTTGACAAGAATTCTGCATTGTCACCTAGGCTTCCTAGCACACAGAATTCTCACAGTGTGGGGGCACGACCCTCTGAAAGCTCCATGTCTCGTGGCTTTGCTGACCTGCCATCATACCCTGTGGGGCTTCTTATGACAGAACAGCCTTTAGAACGTGAGCTGTTGCAAAGTCCAGGCACTTCCACGGGCAGCCTGGTCACAGAGCCTTCATCTTTCCGGACCAGGACATGCCGCCCATGCTCTCAGTCAGCTTCATAGCAGCACAGCGTGCGTGCGTGTCTGGGAGCCCCCACCACCTGGCAAAAGCTGGGACCCCCGAGGCCTCCTGGGCTCCTGGGCACACCCCGGGCTTACTCAGCTGGTGACCCTGGGGGGGGGGGAGCAAGAACCTGCCTTTCTGCAGCTCCCAGGGAGACCCGTGTGCTCACCACGGAGGACCACCTTGCAGGGTCTCCATCCCACCCTCACGCCACCTCTCCAGTGCTCAGTTCATATGCAGGTCTCTAGAGCAAGATGATGGCCCTGCGTTGGCTGCTCTGCCCCCATGAGACCATGGACACAACTCACACCTTCCTCTTCAGACAGACCAGGGGCATTAATGGCTCCCAGGTCTTGAGTGGCCCTGAGGCATGCACGGGGTAGTACCTAGGAAGCTTTTACAAGACAGCCTAGTGCTCTGCGTCTCTTAGCTATTAGGGAAATATGCAATGAATGAATAATGGTCTCTGCTTTACTTGGGGGTCAGCTATTATGGGGAAGCTATTGGCCTCAACATCAACCTCAACTCTAGATTGAGAAAACTGAGTTTTCCTGCATGCACCCTTCTCCAATTCCATTTGCACACACCCTACTGCAGTTCCATTTGTTTTCCCAAAATGTGAATGAAAGTTGTGAATTGGAGGACGGCAGGCAGCATGAGAGGGTCCTGAAAGGACATTCAGACCAACAGAAAGAATAACTATCACAAGAATAATAGGGAATACATTTACAGAGCAAGTCTCAGTCCCTGTGAGCTGCTACAACAAAACAACCTGGACCAGGTGACTTACAGACCACAGAAGTTCATTCCTCCCAGTTCTGGAGGTCGAAGAGCAAGACTCCAGAGCATTCCATGTCTGCCAAGGGGTCAATTTCTCATTGATTTCTGTGTCCCCTCTGTAACCCCACACAGTAAAGGGTCCCACTCATAAGGACTCTGCACTAGAACTCTGACACCTTCCCCATTTACCAAGTGTTCATTTTATGTGTCAGCCTGAGTAGGCCACAGTATCTTGGGACCAAACACCACTGTAGACATTTGTTTTAGTCAGCTTTTTTACCACTGTGACTAAAAGACCCCACCAGAATACAACTGTAGAGGAGGAAAGGTTAATTTGGGGGCTCACAGTTTCAGAGGTCCCAGTCCACAGACAGCAGGCTCCATTCCTCAGGGCTTGAGGGAAGGCAGGACATCATGGAGGAAGAGTGTGGTGGAGGGAAGCAGCTCACATGGTGATCAGGAAGCAGAGGGAGACTCTACTCTCCAGAGACTATAAATAGAGACCCCAAAGCCACTCCCCCAATGCCCCCTCCTCCAGCCACACCCACCTGCCTCCAGCCACCTCCCAGTTAATCCCATCAGGGGTTCATTCACTGGTTGGGTTAAGGCTCTCACAACCCAGTCATGTCTCCTCTGGACCTTCCTGCATTGAGCTTTTGGGGGTCAACTCCCATCCACACCATAACAATATTTCTGTGAAGATGTTGCCTTAGATGTGGTGAAGATTGAGATCCGACTCAGCAGACTCCCCTCCAAAGAAGATCCGACTCAGCAGACTCCCCCTTCAAAGAAGAAGGGATTTGACCTTGAGACAGTACGTTGCCTCAGGGTGCAACATCATCTCTGTGGCTCCAGCCTGCTCATCTACTTGCTCTGCAGACTTCAGACGGCCAGTCCCAGTCACAGGAGCTACTCTACTTGTTGAGCTCCCTGTGTCCCCCACCCACAGATAGGTGTGGACGTAGATACAGATCTCTAGAGACCCCTGTATTTCAGGTTGGTTCTGCTTCTGCATCCTGTTGACTGTGTTTGTTCAGAGAACCCTGAGGATGACTGAGACAGAATTATCCAGAGCCAGACATACCTCCAGCAAGTGCCACCCACTCTGAGCCCAGTGTTCCAGAAATTGTGTCAACATCACCCTGTCCTCCCATGGAAACTTTATTTAGAAGCTGCTGTGTTGATCCCCATTTTCACAATGGGGAAGTCAGGGGGAGTCACAGCCAAGTCTCATACCCAGTAGGTGACCCCAAAGTTGCCACCTCAGGTATTCAATGAGGTCAGAGGCAGTGCCACAGCCAGGCACAGTGGTGCTCACCTGCCATCCCAGCAGCTTGGGAGGCTGAGGCAGGAGGATGGAGAGTTCAAAGCCAGCCTCCACCACTTAGCAAGGCCCTAAGCAACTCAGGGAGACCCTGTCTCTAAATAAAATACAAAATAGGGCTGGGGATGGGGCTCAGTGGTCAAGTGCCCCTGAGTTCAATCCCTGGTACCAAAAAACAAAACAAAAAAGCAGTGCCGATACCAGAGTCAACACCCTCTCGCTCCTGACACACTGGCCTTCCCCACAGCAAGCCTCCTCACA